ATTTGCTGCCTCAATGGTGGTAGTTATATGCATCAAACCCAGGTCTCCCATGTAGTATGCAAGGATGCTACTACTGAACCACAACAGTAGGTCATATATTAAAATGATAGCTGTTGAAACTTAAACATTTTTATTTTCTATTACCGCCTGGTGGCCAATGGATGGAACTTATAGTAACCCAAGAAACACACCTGTTTATACTATGTATAATAATAAGACTTACTTTTGAGATACCCCCTACTGTGTGAGGTGATTATACACACACTCAAATGGGACTGATGTCCTGTCTTGTAGAGGACAGAAGTAACGTATTCACTTTGTTCATGACTAGCCAGACGCAAAGTATATATTACTACATCTAGGGTGCATATACATGTGCAATTAATGTTATTTGGATTTACTGCACAGTAATTCACTGTGCAGTAAACCAGCCCTGGGTAGACATCTACGTGTGCAGCAATTTGGGAGCAGATTTGCTGCTTATGGAAGTAGCCTGCTCCAGGCATCCTCCAGCCTTGCTCCACACCCGTGCAGCAGCCAGGGGGATCTGGAAGCTCTGGCTGCAGGTACTCAGGTACCAGGGGCACTCTTTTTAAAAGGCAGGCCTGTGCGGTGCTCCCTGGCCCTGCTTTTCTGGCCCAGAGCAGTCTGCAGTGTGCTGACACAGCCCTCTGTGACACTGTCTTCAGATCCTGTGCCCAGTGTGCAATGGCTGCTCTACCCCTAGGCCCCAGCATTTGCAGGTGGTAAACTAACTGCACAGTAGAATAAATGACTGTGCAGTAAGCACTTGCATGTGTAGACAATGATGCTTTACTGCACAGTAAATTAGTCTACTGCACAGTAAAATGCCTCTTGTAGATGTGCCTCTAGGCTGTCCCCTTTCTTCATCATCTGTTACTTTTAAAAGAACATTACCAGTTATTAGGGGTGTGCAAAGTGGGCCGTATTCAATTCGGATTCAGCCCAAATCAGGGACAGTGATTCAATTTGTTGATTCGGATCACTGTACCCAATTCAATTTGGCCGAATCCAAATCTGAAGATTCGATGCTGATTCAGAGAATCAGCGATTCGGACATAGACACAGCTTTAAATGTTTTTTCTACATACCTGGAGGTACCGGGCATGGCTCGTGAATGCTGTGATGCTGGGACAGATGAAGCATCCCACAGGAGCGTGGGGGGGCCCCCCCCAAGTTCTTGACGGCGAACCTGGAAGCGGACCAGAAGTACTTCTAGTCTACTTCTGGGTCATTCAGAGAACGCAGTAGGGGGCCCCCCGTACCGCCCCCGGCTCAGCGATCAGCCACGGGGGGACTTCAGGTGCCCCCACAGACTGAGCAGGCACCAGTTGCCAAACTAGGCGGACACGGGGTAGCCCCCCCCTGCGCACTCCCCAGTGGACCACTTCCAGATCTGCTGCCGAGTGCACTGGGGACACCCCTCCCCCCCCCCAATGCTGCTGTGGGATGCTCCATCCACCCCAGCATCTCAGCATTCATGAGCTGCCTGGTACCTAGGGGTATGCAGAAAAAACATTTAAAGCTGTGTCTATGTTCAAATCACCGAATCTTTCCAAATCTCTGCGAATTGATTCAGAGAGTTCCGATTTGATTCAAAGAGATTAAAGGGTCTCCTGATCTGATTTGGATTCGGACATTCAGCCGCCAAACTGGGCCGAATCTCCACCAAATTGAATCCAGGACTGAAGCTTTGCACAGCCCTACCAGTTATAACCACACTTTTCCCGTGTTTCTCCTTTGCTGCTCCATCATGATGGTCTCATTTTGCTAATTCATATCTTTAGAACAAGTCAGAGGGAGTGCGACTTTCCTAAGATAGAAAGGAGGGCATTCTCAGTTCTGGGCAGAAGCTATACCACTGATAACTATCCATTTTGGCCAATAGCTATTAAATACTGTATAAAATGCAAAAACACTACAGCCAAAGCTCTGTTATCCAGCGTCCCCTGTGAATGGGGGATGCTGGTTAATCGAATATGCCGGTTAATCAAATATGCACCATCCGGTGCACTCCCTGGCATCAGTGTGCCGGGGGACAGGGATGGGGGCCCCATGCAGGCTGCTTTGCCCCGGGCCATGGTCCACAAGGAAGAAGTGAAGAAGAAGAAGAACTCTGCTTGCAGCAGCAAAACCAGAAGTGGGACTTCTAGTTTCACTTTTGCCGCATCCCTCAGCAATATGATAGATGCCCGTTAGTGGAGCTTTCCGGTTGGTATAGTGCCGGATAACACGGCTTTTCCTGTATTTGTGGTAGGATAGGAGACCAGAATCCAGGGCCCTTTTTCCTTCCATGGAGGGAAGGGCCCAACTCACTAAGCCATACTCCCTCTTTGGCTGCCTAGTAGGCCAGCTTCAACAGGAAAAGTGAAGGGTGCTCTTACCTTTGCTTAGCCCATGGCCTGGTAGCAAGGAACATTGTTAGCAAGTAGGAAATACAGCTAAGACTCAACAATGAGCAACCCTTTTCTTCTTGATATTCTGAATAATAAATGGAAACTATTTAAGAACATTTTACTAATGCCCCAAAAGTGACAATCGAGATAAAAAGTAGCAAATAATCACCTGAATATGAGTTCTTACTAGGACATTGGGGCCAAATGAGTTAATGGAATCCTTGGCTGTGTAAATATTATGTAGGAATACAGAGTAAGGAAATTATGCTACCTTTGTATTTGGTGCAAGTAAAACCACTGTTGGGATAGTATTTCTGTCGACAAGTAAAGAAAGATGTTGAAGAACTGGAGAAAATTCATAGAACAGTTACATGAATAAGAACTGGAAAACCTGCCTTAGAGAAGAGAACCCAGGGATATCATTTTTTTTAGCTTAACAAAGAGAAGTTGCAGAAACAGGTGATAGAGGTAGAATAAGGGATACAGCATTTGTCAAATTTTGATCAATCTTTAATTATGATGTCACAATTAAGTAGTCAGAATTAATCTTCTCTTCCTAGTCTCTATCCCTCCCCTCTGTCCTCCACAGGTACTCATTCAAGCTGATTCTATACTGCCATAAAACAAAATAAGAGTCCTAAACTCTGTTTAAATGCCAAAACCTGAAATTAAGGTGTGCCTTACATGTGAACTCAATGCAAACCCCAGACCACTAATAAAGATTTAAAACCTTGATTGAGAAAATATTAAAATTATAATGATCGCATTGCTTTGTAGAGTTGGAAGATAATCTGTGCATTGTGACCATATAGGTGTATAGTTATATATTAATGCAATCTAAAACATGTAGTAGGTTAGGCAGCCTATATTCTAGCCTAATTGACTACCAGACCCAGGAGAGGCCCCACGTGTCACCTCCTCCCAGTTTAACATTGATAATAACTCTTTAAGCACAATTTTCCAAACAGTATAAACCCACTTTGTAATCATTTCATATACACTGCATTTCTTTGTGCTTTACTTTTATGTTTGTTCCACACTATACACTCTGTACATGCTAGCAGGAAAAAAAATGTTAATTAATAAAGACGTTCACAGAGTAGTAGAATATTTTTCAGATTTCTTTGGATAATTCACTATAGTTCAAACAATTACAAGAATCTCATATTTTGTGACAATGACTGGACGCATCTATACGAGACGCTACCACACAGTTGTTACTGCGTATTTATTTAGTACTTGTATTAGCAAGAATTAAATAAATGCACAGTAACCAGAGTTACATTGCAGTAGCACCAGCGAACATGTTTTAGGTGATGCTACTGCAGAGTAGCCTAATAATATTGCTCAGTAGCATATTAGCATCCACTGCTTCCAAAATTGCAGGAAAATTCACAGAAGTTTTTATAAAATTACTTGCAAAAACAAACTATCTTCCTTGACAAACAGAATCATAGATACTAATGTTGGAAATGGGCTACTAAAACATCAGATCCATCTCTCTGGATTCCATACATTTGCAAGTCTAGTTTCAAAACTCATACATGATGGCTAATGTTAGTATCCATTTCCACACCTCAATACAGCTCAGTCAGTGAAATTACTCTACTGCTCAGCTGAAATGTTCTATATTTCAATTTCAACCCATTAATCTAGTTAGGTCAGGGGTGTCAAGCTGATTTGCCCCAGCCCCACCCTGTCCCCCAGCCAAATCTGGAGTGCAGGCACTCCTTGTAAGCTAGATCTGGACACACCTGTAGCTAAGGAGTGAGTGATATCAGGGAGTCATGGAGGTTAACATAGCTGTCGCTCATCCCTGGTGGTGGCACATGTCCTCAGTGGGTTTCCACACTCCAGATATTGATGATGGACCCCAACTCTGCTCAACTTGCCCTCATATCCCTGGCCCTTCTAAGAGCCCCACAGGCTAGATGGCATGGGCTGGATCTAGGCCTTGGTCCATATGTTTGACACCCCGAGTTAGGTGTTTAACAGGAATATACTGTTAAACTCATACTGATTATCAAACACTGACCTCCAATTCTCTTGCCAGAATACCTACACCCCCAAAAGTGAGGACTTAAGTAAGGCCCAATATAAAACTTAACCTTTAATTTCATCCCATTTTTCTAAAATAGTGGATCAGTCGATCGATGTATCTATCTGTGTGTGTATATTTATACATACACATATATGTATAGGTATAGGTATGTATACACACACAGAAACACTTTTTCCCTTCATATCCATTCTTCTCCCCCTCTATGGATGTCATCAGGCATTTCTGTGGCTATTATTAATCCGTCCCTTTTGTTCAGCATTTGGACGAAGGTGTTTAGTATATTTCCTTTCTCCTTGAAAATTATTTTCTGCAGTCCTATATTCATCAGAATATCATTGACTAAGCCAACTGACCTGGGTCAGTTTTGTCCCTACTTTGCATTTACAAGGAGAGAGATTGGCCACAGATTTTACAATGCATTACCTGGGGAAGTTCATAGTTTACAGTAGGAAGTGGCAGACATGTTCCACCCTGGGATACATACCAGGGTAAAAGAACAAACACTCAACAGGAATTTTAGTTTATGTCCCTTTGATGTTCTGCAGCACTTTCACCAAAGCCCCTTTCACATCCTTATTCCTCAGACTGTATATCATGGGGTTGAACATGGGGGTAATGATGCTATAGAATAGAGAAACCATTTTGTCCTGATCAGCAGAACGTGTAGACCCAGGTCGCATGTACATGAACATAGCACTGCCATAGAATAGTGCTACTACAGTTAAGTGGGAAGCACAGGTGGAAAAGGCTTTGCGCCGTCCTTCAACAGAGTGAATCCTCAAGATGGCCCCTAGGATTCGGACGTAAGAGATCAGGATCAAGACGAAAGGGCAGAGGAGAATAAGAACACCAATCACAAACACAATGATTTCATTGAGGTGGGTGTCAGCACAGACTAATTTCAGAAGTGCCAGGATATCACAGTAGAAGTGATTAATCTCATTGGGGCCACAAAATGGCATCTGCAAGGTCTGGACAGCATGGATCATGGCAAGAAGAAAACCACATGTCCAAGAAACTGCTGTCAGCCCCACACAGACCCTACGGTTCATGATGAGAGTATAAGACAGAGGATAACATATTGCTACAAAACGGTCATATGCCATGACTGCTAGGAGAACACATTCCGTAATACCTAAAGCCAGGAAGAGATATATCTGAACACTACACCCTGCAAAAGAGATGGTTTTCCTTGAATTTAGAAGGTTGGCCAACATCTGTGGGACAGTGCTGGATGTATAACAGATGTCCACAATGGAGAGATGCCTCAGGAAGAAATACATAGGTGTGTGGAGTCGGGAATCCAGCCAGATCAGCACCAGTATAATCACATTCCCTGTCAGAGTGATGACATAGATGACAGAAATCAGCCCAAAAAGGAAAAGCTTCACCTTTGGACCACTGGAGAGACCCAGGAGGATGAATTCAGTCACAGTAGTTTGGTTCCCCATCAGTCTTCTATGCTGCTTTCTCTGCAATAGTTGGAGTACATATAAAGTAAAATGCATTACCATGCAAAACCACTGAATGGATTTCAGAGGGGAAAACAAAAACTTTGGAAGGAGTTCAGCATAGAGCTTCCTTCCTCTCTTCTATTTCAATCAGCAATTTTGATACCAGTGAGAGCACAGCAGTCAGAATGTGGTCATGGACTGAAAGAAATTCAGGGTGGTGTCAGTAGTGGATCAGGAGGCAAAAATATGAAGCATCTTGCATACTAGTAAATTTTTTAAATCAGTAATGCATGTTGGTTAGCAAATCCCAGGATGCATTAAAAAATGTAGCACAATGAATGATTTTTAAATGAAAAAAAAAGTCATACCCTCCAGGCAAACTCCTGAGGAAAAAATGAGCCTTATGTCACATCCCAACCACCAAAAAAAACAAGTTCAGCTAAGCTTAGGGAGTAAAATTTCAGGTATACTAATCCTTCATAAAGAATGCTCTTATATTTACTTGTATTTTCTTTTACCACATTGTATAAGTATACTTATATACTTATACAAAAGTATACTTATATACTTAAAAAGTATACTTTTTTCTGAAGCAATGCCACAAAAGTATATAGTTACTCCAAATTTAAATATTACTGCTGGGGACTGCATGGTCTTGCCCAGTACAGTACAGTAGTCTCGAGCTACTATACAGTCAGCATTACAAAAAAGCCTTTGTCAACACTACTGCACAGTAACTCAGGTTACTTCATAGCTATTTAGTACTTGTTTATACAAGACCTAAATGACTGCACAGTAACAACTGTGCAGTCAATGTCTTGTGTAGACGCAGCCACTGTTTATGAAATGTCCCATCCCTCTAAAAAAATTTACTTTCTGAATTCTAAGGATAGACTAAGAATAATCCTTAGTCACTCAATCCTATTGCCTAGCCAGGAGCTAGAAAAATGTATGTTCCCTCTGATCCTTTCTGAATATAGCAGTGTAGCAAGGCTCTCATGTTTGTAGTCAGAAGCAACATATAAAGAAGAGACAGACTTTTTTCTCCTCTATACTTTGTAGTAATAGACCGTTCAATCATATCTTTTCTTGTTCTATTTTTGCTTCCTTCTACCATACTTAAGTCATGTCAGTGGGTGTCCCAGTGAAGAATCTACCACAAAATGGCAAATTCCATTCTAATATTTAACACCTTCTGTTCAATGCATTTTTCTTATTTAGTATCAATTACAGTTGTTAGGGATAAAAATGCTTACTTACCCTAATTGCTTCCCCATCACTGTTTTTGCCCATCACTGGGATACTTCTAGAAACATTTGTATTACAAAACAAGATACAGAAAAAAATACAGGGATAGAAAAGGCTTACAGTCAAGTCCATAGAAATAAAAGTTTACCCAACACATGCATGGCTGGATGTTGGTGCTAGTGAGTTGTCCATTCAAGGCCATCAAAAGAACCATAGACTAATAGGGTTGAAAGGGCCCTCAAGAGGTCTAGTGCAAACCCTTGCTAAGGGCAGAATCATCCCCACCTCAGAAAAGGAATGATTTTAATTCACAACAATAATGATACCCTTTGCTATTCAAATGAGATGGGATGGCCTTTCTGTATTTAAAAGATGTGGAATTAAAAACAAAAATAGTTTTTGATAGTTTACTGGCAAAATCTTAAAAGCATGAAAATAAATCAGATACAATATAGAGAAAAAAATCATTTTTAAATTACATGTATGTGGCACTACAGGCAAGAATAACATCAATACACAATCATGTTTCATTACAGCTTATTGTATCTCTGTGTCTAGAGCTTTCTATGGATAGTGAAAGAAAAAATATAGAGCTCAAAGTCTTGCAGTCGGTATTAAACTTTTATTCAGGCAAAACACTGCTTGGAGTCTCTGGAAGTTTTGTTTGTCTAAGGGCTCCAGGAATTGTCCTGTGGTATGCATAAGTTCTGAGATGCCAGGACTGGATTTGATAGCCCAGGACAGCCCTTCCAGGACTGTATTTATATGTTACAGGATGAATGGTACAACAGAAACTAAAAGAAGCATGCTTTCTTTATTTTTTGTGTTTTTGAAAGGGTTTTTGGGGTGTTTACTTTCATGTAAAAGTGGACACGAACCTTTCCCTTTCTGGTGACAAAGGAAACCAGGGCACAAATAAGAAGTTTACTGTCCTCTGTTGCTTCTAATGGCCAAAGCCAGAGGCAGAACATTTGACCAGTTAGTCCATTAACCTGCTCCCAACTACCAGATCTTCTATTTGCCTCTTCTTGTTGAATAAGCGTATTTCTTATTTAACACAGTAATATGAATGTAGCACACATCCACAATATAACATGTGCTGTTTATGTTTTCTTTTTATTAGACAAGAAAAGACTAAGGTTAACATGGTGTCAAGCTTACCTACATTTATTTGATGAGCACAAACATTCTCCCTCTACTGGCTGGTGCTCTACTGCTCTGCCATGTTTGTGCTGTCCTTGAAAATACGTGCTATGATTCTTAGACCAAAATTTACATGAGGAGTGACTCAAAGACGTCAAGCCCCATGCCCTATCCAACTGTTTTTAAGAACCAAGAGCCCTTTTTTATGTCTCTAAGATACAGCTAATGACAGCATGAGAATTGGTCTATATGGAATCCTGTGTTCCCAAAGGATTTAATCATAAAAGCTGTAAACATCGTATTAACAATGCTTGGAAGCCCCATCCTAAATTAGCTTCCCGAAATAGCTTCAGGTTGGACACACACAACCTGGGGACTCTGAATGTGTATTTTTGTATGGACTTGTTAAACTTCTAAAATGTTATGATTTGACCATCATGAAATTAAGTATTTCCATGGAAAAGGCCACTTCACCAATACTTGTATAAAGCCAGGTCTCAGATTTGACCCACGATCCTCCATATTATGGAACATAAATGTTGCCCATTCAATAAGAATCTGACAGACATAATTGCGTACGTTTTCAAAGATGTAAGTCAGGCTTGTCCAACATATGGCCCGCGGCCCGCCAAGCCATTTTATCTGGCCCGCGGTAGCGGCGGCATGGAGCACAGAGCTCCTGTCCCCAGCAGCACATGGGAAGCCAGCTTCAGCTGCATGCTGCTTTTCCTAGCCGGTGCCGACCTGGTTCTGCCCAGGCGGGTCCTGCAGCACCATGTCAACCCGGTTGTAGCCAAGCGGCTCCTGTAGCACTGTCAACCCGGGCATGCATGCTATGTCAACCCCTGCAACTTCATTGGTGTCAAAGGTCACGTGACATCACTTCCTGATATGATACCACTTCCTGTGACGTCTTTGAATATGGCTCACCAGCCCACTGGGTGATAAAAAGTTCATGGTCCAGCCCCACATTCAAAAAGGTTGGACACCCCTGATGTAAGTGTACATATTACTCATGTATTCCTGGTATTTCACATAATACAACAGATGCCCTCTTTGGTCATTAAGCACCCCCAATTTGCAATATAATTTAGTAACAAAGGTTCTCTAAACAATTGTAAAAGAAACTGTAGATACCATCTGACTTTCTGATTTTCTTTTCTCTGATTTCAACGACATGGGGTTTCTTGAATAAGGCCATTAGTAGAAAAAAAAATTATTTAATTTGTATCTCCAGCCAAATTAGCCAAAACTAATTCCAAATCCAAGTATTTCATAGATTTCATAGACATTAGGGCTGGAAGGGACCTCGGAAGATCATTGAGTCCAGCCCCCTGCCCAAAGGGCAGGAAGTCAGCCGGGTTCATAGGATCCCAGCAAGATAAGCATCCAGTTTGCTCTTGAAGGTGTTCAATGTGGGCGCTTGAACCACCTCTGGTGGCAGGCTGTTCCAGACTTTGGGGGCTCGGACAGTAAAGAAATTCTTCCTTATGTCCAGCCTGAAACGGTCTTGTAGTAGTTTATGACCATTCGACCTAGTCGTCATCCCTTGGGGCGCTCTGGTGAACAAACGTTCCCCCAGATACTGGTGGTCATCCCTGATAAACTTATAGATCACCCCTGATAAACTTATAGGTGGCCATCAGATCATCCCTGAGCCTGCGCTTTTCCAGGCTAAAGAGCCCAAGTGCTCTCAGCCTGTCATCGTAGGGTCTGCTGCCCTGACCTCTGATTATGCACGTGGCTCTTCTCTGGACTCTCTCAAGCTTCTCCACATCCTTTTTGAATTGTGGAGCCCAAAACTGGACGCAGTACTCCAGCTGTGGCCTCACTAAGGCTGAGTACAAGGGGAGAATGATGTCCCGGGATTTGCTTGAGAAGCATCTATGGATGCAAGCCAGCGTTTTGGTCGCTTTACTAGCTGCAGCATCGCACTGCAGGCTCATGTTCATCTTGTGGTC